GGCATAGTGCCTAAGGCATTTGACTGCTAACCAGAAGGCTGGAGGTTCAAACCCACCAGCCACTCCTCAGAAGGAAGATTGGGCAATCTACTTCCTTCCATAGAGATACTGCCTCGGAAATTCAAAGAGGGGTCACTATGAGTCAGAAATGACTCGACTGCAGTGAGTTTGATTTTTTTACTTTACTGTGTGCTGAACAATGAGACAATGGGGGAGATTGCTGGCCCAAGCTCCAGTCCTGACTCCTGCAATTTGGTGGCTATATGTGACCTTTAGTAAATCCCTTTCTCCTCTGTGCCTCAACTGCTTTATCTATTTAGACAAGATAGGGTTGTTATGAGTCAGAATCAACTAGATGGCAGTGAGTTTGACTGAAATTTGTGGTTCAGTGGTTGCATTCTTGCCTTCCACGTGGCAGAGCAGGTAGGAGAGAGGCTGCCCTGACCACCTTGAGGCAGGAGGAGAGGCTCAGTGGAGAGAAAGTGTGGGGCCTGCTCTGTGAGCCCTCTGGTCTGGGTAGGCCCTCCTAGGGTATGATTGCCTCTCTCTCCTGGACTATCTGACCCACATGCCTGTGTCTCTGCCCTACTCAGGGATCTGCCTTGGTTACTTCTCAAGTGGCTTTAACACAGCTGCCGTGGACCATGAGGCAGATGGAAGCACCAATAATGGCATCTTCCAGATCAACAGCCGGAAGTGGTGCAACAACTTTGATCTGAAGGCCCCAAACCTGTGCCACATGTACTGCACTGGTAGGCTCTTAAATGGTGGACTCTTCGCCCAAGTTAGGTCTTATGTAAAAGTCCAACCAGGCTTGGCTGGAGTTGGGGCAATACACTAGTCTTTGCTTTCACCCCTCCACAATCTGTTGGGCCTACCAGGAAGAGGGGACTGGGACAAATGACGATGAATCTGATTTGGGAGTCCTAGATGGGAAGCAGTTTCAGAGCTATAGGAGTGGAGCGGGGATTGCTTCTGATGGAGGAGAAGAGTGATAGTTGTGCTTCCAGAGTACTCAAGAGACAAGATTGGGCTTAGGATGGAGGAGGTAGGTAGGATGTGTGTGTGTGTGTGTGTGTGTGTTTATGCAAGACTGAGAGAGAGAAAGTGTGAGCAAACAAGCAAGTGAGCTGGAACCTGAATGCTAAGCTCTGCTCCTTGCTCCTTCATTGTGTTTCTCTGCCTCCCATCCTAGATTTGTTGAATCCTAACCTCAGGGATACAGTTATCTGTGCCATGAAGATAGTCCAAGGGCCCCGTGGTCTGGCCAGCTGGTAAGTCACTTGGGCTGGACACCTTATGCGGTGGTATGGTTAGGACTGGTGGACAGGAACAGGGAGCTTACCTTTTCCAAGCACCCATTTTGTACCAGACATGATGCCAGAGCTACGTGATTTAATCCTCACAACTCCTGGTATACTGTAGAAGTATTTATAGATGACACACTGAGTTTCAGGGAAGATAAGCAATTCATTGGAAGACACATAGCCATAAGTGCTAGAGCTCAGCCTGGGAGATGAAGAGGCTGGCTCTTCCAAGATTTGCCTAGCTATGATGCCTAACTAATGGTGCTCTAGACTAGGGCTTAGTAGACTTTTCCTTTTCTTTTTAAATGGTGGACTCTTCGCCCAAGTAAGGTCTTATGTAAAAGTCCAAGATGTACAACAGATCAGAGATGGGGTGCTCTCATTGAAATAAGGGTGAGGGCTCCAGAGATCACTGTTTAAGCATTCTCATTTCCCATGTCCTTCCACAAGATGGCTTTTGAAGCTGCCTTCACAGCCAGGGGAGTTGTGATTGCCCCATGTCAGAGATGAGCATTAGGTGGAGAGTTGAAGTAGATCATTAGTTCACAGAGGTGCCTCTGAAGCAGTTGCCCTATAGCTTCCCAGTGTCTTTGGATGGGAGTTTCAATAGGTAGAGTCCCCAGTCTTCCTTTTACTCAAATTTTAGGATGAGGGATCAGCAAGGAGGTAGAATCTGGGGAAAGTAAAATGCTCCAAGGAGCTGATGCACCAGGAGCATGGATGGATGTAGCAAGTGATAAAGCTGGGGAGGAAGTTGGAAGGAATTGAATGAATGTCAGCCCAAGAGCAGAAGGATGAAGGAAACTAAGGCAGGAGGACTTATTAGGAAGTCTTTGCAGGAGTCTAGGTGAGAGATATAGGGTCTGGATTGGGGTAGTTGCACTGGAGATGGACAGGAGAGGGGTTGGAAATGAGAACTTTGAAAAAGGAATAGAGACAGGTGAGAGGTAGCCAGGGAAAGAGAGGGGGAGGTGAAAATGACTATGAATCTAGAGAGGATACACACGTGGACCCTGAAATGGCTGCAGCTTTGGAGATGTGTTGGTCTGAGAGAAGCTGAAGCCCTAGGAATTGAGTCTGAAATGAGACAGGCTCATCAAAGCATCATGGATGTCTATAAACTCAGAGTAGGTGAATGAAGACTCAGGCACTACACCTCAAAGGCTTGAGGACTTGGAAGCACCACCCTGGGATGGGAGAAATAGGTCCTTTGGAGTTGAATCAAGCAACAACCCCTCTTTTGTACATTGGAAGTAAATTCGTGGCATATGTTACCCTTGAGAGATAGCTGTGGCTGAAAATAGGAAGTGGTTTTAGAAGGCAGAAAGGGGCTATTTCATTCTATACCCATTTATTAAGAATGCACTGTGTACTAGGCTCAGTGCTGGGATGCAGAGATGGCAGAGACCCGTCTTTGCTCTCAAGGATCTCAGAGTTTAGTGGAAGAGACAAATAAGCCAATCAACCACCTTTGGATAATAGATCTATGGAGGTCCCTTAGGGGAACTTGGGCTCTTTGACATAGGCATCATAGAGAACACCAGTTATCAGAGCTTGGGGCCCCTGAAACTTGGAACCTCAGGACCTCAGGACCTTGCTTATCTTCCTCAAGGTGTCAGCTGTGAACCTAGAAATAGTAATGGTTCTGAATGAGCTTGTGAGCTATAAAGTTATCAACAATTGAAAGACCCAGATTGATAGCCACAGAGAATAGGATGTGGGCATTAGTCTGGCATTTGCTAGCTGTGGCTCTTGGGCAAGTCATTTTGCATCTCAGCCTCAGCTTTTCATTTGGAAAATGAAGAGCATAATATTTGCCCCATCTATCTCACAGGGCTGCTGGGGGTTGTGAAATGGATGATGGGTGAGAGAACGTTATGTAAACTGTAAAGTGCTATGCACATGCAAGGCGCCATCATTGTTTCCAGAAGCAGCACAATGTGGGAAAAGAGCATTGGACACGGGTTCCAGACGCCAGCGCTCTAAGTCTTTGCCTATAGATTATACTCTATTTCCATCGGTAAAACAGAGGCTAGAAAAATGACTCTCATAGGGCATTCTCTCCCATTTTCTTTACTTCTTGCAGTGGATTAGCTCTTTCCTCCCCCTACTTCTAGTTTAGAGCCCCACCCTCTTCCTGCTTTTCTCAGAGCAGTGATTGGAGGCTGTGGCTAATATGCCCTTTCCCTTCCCCCTTCTCCTTCTCCATCTGCAGGGAGACCTGGAGGCATCACTGCCAGGGCAAGGATCTCAATGACTGGGTAGATGGCTGTGACTTGTAGAATCCTCTCTGGAAGGACCAAGACAAACACCGAAGTATGGGCGATGCGGTTTGGTCTGTGACCCAGGGTTGGGGAGATAAGCCAGCTAATAAAGTATTGTTTAACATAAATGTAGTTCTCAGAGTTCACTGGGTTTCAGGTAGAGGGTTGGAGCCAGAGTAGCTTAGTGTTTCCCCACCCGTCGGCCTGGGCTGGGCTTCAGGTGGACTCCAGAAAGCCCACCATGGAAGGCTTGCCTCAAACACTAGTGGCCTGGGGGTGTCAGTGCCTCCCTTGCTCACACCTGGCAGAGTTTCCTAGACCCTATATCTGAGTCTAGAGTTGCCAGATTTAGAAAAACACATAAACAAAGAGCAAACAACAATAAAAACATGCTCCAGTTAAATTTGAATTTCAGATACACAGCAAATAATTTTTGGTATAATTATGTCCCAAATATTTCACGAGACTATACTAAAATTCCATTTGTCGTGTTTCTAAATTCAAATTTAACTGGGTGCTCTATATTTTATCTGGCAATCTTACTTGGGACCGAAACCATCCACTGCTGGTTTGTTTGGGAAGGTCCCTAGGACACTTAGTTTCTGAGGCTCTGGTTGCAGGGGTGTTAGTGTCTTCCATCAGACAGTGCTTGTGGTGCCTTGGCCCTCCAGTTGGTGACTGCTAACACACTCTGTTGCTACCTTATGGTGGTGCACCCTATCTAAAGATTGCCACCAGGAACTCTTTCATGGAGCTCTCCAGCGCCCTCTAGAGGAGGGAGATTCAAGTGCAGCTGATAGTGTTGGATGCCCCATCCTGGGTAAGAAAGCCACCACTGCACTGTTGAGGCTGCAAGATGGGGTGGGAGATATGGGTGGCTGTCAGGCAACAAACAGCAAAGGTGTTTGCAGTTCTCTGCCTTCGTCAATATGTGGGCAGCTCAGAAGAAGATGGGACTCTATCCTGGAGCTCAGCTTCTCAGCTCTCCTGGGACAACTGTGTCTGAAGAAGGAAGGTCGCCAGAGTCTCAGGACACAATGAATGTGGTGGCAAGAGCAGCAGCTGAGGTAACAGGGTGATATGTGAAAGGGCAGAGTCTGGAAAGATTCAGAGAGTACTGCAAATACTGAACTGTTGATTTAGGTAACTCCTAAGGAGAAGAAGGGAATACGACAACGTGTTCTCCCCCGCCAAGACCTGCCATCTCTGAATGCCACTGGGTCAGCAAGCGTTAGAAGGGCTGCTTAGCATCCAGCCTTGGGGAGGCAGGCCAGGTTCCTTATACTGCTGGTCTGGCCCTGCCTGTGTCCCACACTGGCTTTTGGTTCTGCAATCCAATGGAAATCTTGGCTCCAAGTCAAGGTGCTGATCAGCATGAGGGCTGGCCCTCATACAAGTAGATAATGATGAAAGACCAGCTCATTGCTGGAGTGGATAGCCAATGCCTAAGGGATTCATTCTTATTAAGTCATAGATAGGGAGAATCTGATCTCTTTTTAATATTTATTTTAAATTAACAAATTGATATTAATAATGACATTGTTAATATTATAATAATATTATGTAATATTGTGTGTCTACCATGTGCCATGCATTATTTAATTTAGACTCTAGAACAGTAACTATGAAGCAGGTACCATCTCAGGAGGAAGGAGAGAGGGGAGGATATGAGAAGGAGAGGAAGGAAAAGAGGAGTGGTTTGGAAAAGGGGCAGAGATTTCTGTGTGAAATGGAGAGAATTAACTGAATTTTGATCACTTCTGGTGAGTCACCTCATTCTTTGCTCAGTTTGGCTCCACCTTGGGGTTAAGTGCTCGACTACTAGTGAAAAGATTGGCAGCTCAAACCTAGCCAGAGGCACCTTGAAAGGAAGGCCTGGCAACCTGCTTCCAAAAGGTCACAGCCTTAAAAGTTCTGTGGAGCAGTTCTCCTCTGTGCACCCGGGGTTGCCATGAATCTGAATTGACTAGATAGCAACTAACAACAACCACAAGGGGAATACTCCAGGGGATGATTTGCTGCTCGAGAGCTGCCCCTTCTCTACCTATAAGTGTAGGTGATGGAAGGCAGGGCTCCTGGCAGTTGAGGGAGGCTTTGCTGAATGCTCTTCTTGGGCTGAGATCCCTGTGCTCTGCCTATGTGATCTATATCCTTAGTAGCTATGTCAGGCATACTCTACTCTGGGTACCAGTCAGGTGGGTATACCCCATTTGGGCAAGGGCACCAGGATCTACTGGACATGTGACATATGTGCCACCATTTCTTGCCCCTTTGCCTATGGTAGACATTGAAAACTGAACACAACCCTCTATCCCACTGAGTTGGAATGTGACAGGAATCCAACACTTCAGTGGTGGCCACTCTCAATGGAGTTAGCATGTAGGATGAAGACTTCTTTATCATCTCTGACCTACCACGTGTTGGGCATCATACAGGCACTTTCCCTAGTTCATCTCACAAGCCTCAAAATATTCTGAGGAGGTAAAAATTATCACCCTCATTTCTTAGGAGAAAACTGAGCCCCAGAGAAGTTCTAGAGCTTGCTCAAGGGGATATAGTTGGTGAAGCTGTGATTTGGATGGGGCTATTGGACTACAAAACTGGACTTTGTCCTCAGTACGTCCCAGCCTCTATAGGTGAGCGGAGGCCAGACACCTGTGGTTGGATTCTCAGCAGGCTGGAACTCCAGAACAGGAAGGTACAGTTAAAGAGGACAGTGGAGAAGAAGCCCATCCTATCTATCAATATCCAAATCCTTCAAATTCTCTTTTGCTTTCACCTTTGTTCTTGCATTTCCTCTGCAAACTTGCCTTCCTAGCAACCTCTTTGCATGTCTCAAGTCTTTAATCAAAATCTGCTCTGAGTCACTTAGGTAGACAGACCCTGGTGCTTCTCCTGCAATGAATGCTCAGTGCCTCATGCCACCTCCACATAGCTCTTGCTGCTCAATGTATTGTGTGCATGGCTGTTCTCCCCTCTCCCCAACTGCACTGTGAGCCCTGAAGACTCTCGGTGTCTAACACAGAGCCTTGCACATCGTGGTCACACAGAACACCCTCACGGAGTGATAGAATTGCGGTGGAGAGCACAGTCTGGCACTAGGAAGTCTTCTTCCCCGATTTTTGTTCCCTTCTGCTTTATTGCTGGCTGAGTTGGGCACGCTTTGGTGCCCACCAGTCATTTTGAATTGGGTCTATTTAAATTTGGATATAATTGTGCTTGAAAAGAAGCCACAAAAGTATGACTTACACTAAAGGCAAATGGACCACAACAATGATAAGTTGTAATGATTGTTAGCCAAACAAGACACTTCTTCCAAGGCGTGATGCAGGGAGCAGAGTCAAGAAGATGTACCAAAGAAGACATTCAGACAGCCAAGAAACACATGCTTGCAATCATTAGCCATTAGAGAGATGGAAATCAAAACAACAATGAGATATCATCTCACCCCAGGAATAATTAAAACAAACAAGCAAACAAACACACAGCCATTGAGTCAGACTAACTCATAGCGACCCCTCCTTGGGTTTCCGAAATGGTATCACTATGGAAGTAGATTGCCCAACCTTCCTTCCAAGGAGTGGCTGGTGAATAACCAGCTTTCTGGTTAGCAGTCAAATGCCTTAGGCACTACGCCACCGGGAATAATGTTGTTGTTGTTGTTGTTTCCCGTCGAGTCAGCCCCGACTCATAGCGACCCCTCCTTGGGTTTCTGAGGCAGTATCACTACGGAAGTAGGATTGCCCAACCTTCCTTCTGAGGAGTGGCTGGTGGGTTTGAACCGCCTGCCTTCTGGTTAGCAGTCAAGTGTCTTAGCCACTATGCTACCAGAGCTCCCACCAGGAATAATAGCAAAGCTTAATAAGATAGAAAACAACAAATGCTGCTGAAGCTGTGGAGACATTGGGACTGTCATACATATAGTTAAATGGTACAACCACTGTGGAAAATGGTATGGCATGACCTTAAATAGTTAGAAGTAGAAATACAATTTGATCCTGCAATCTCACCACTAGGTATATATCCTAGCGAAATAAGAGCGGGTACATAAAAAGCTATATGCACACTCATCACTGCAGCATTATTCACAATATAAAAAAGATGTGAACAACCTAAGTGCCCATGAATGAATGAATGGATAAACATACTATGATACATACACACAATGGGATACTATGCAGCATTAAGGAATAACGACAAATCCATGAAACACTTTGTAACATGGATGAACCTGGAGGACATTATGCTAAGTGAAATAAGTCAATCACAAAAGTACAAATACAGTATGAGTCCACTATTATAAAAAGTCAAGGAAAGGTTTACACACAGAAAGAAATATTCTTTGGTGGTTAGCAGGAATGGAAGGGGAGGAAAGGGAAAATCACTAACTAGATAATACACATGCATTAATTTAGGTGAAGAAAAGGCAATATATAATTAGGGGGTCATTAGCACAATATCACTAAGGCAAAGGAAGACATGAAGAGGTGCACAAGGCTTCCAGACAACAAAGGGAAATCCTATTACATACAAAATATTGCATTATCAATAATAATAACAATCTACAAGTGGATATGCGGACAGACAGGCAAACTGAACAGGTGTGGGTAAGCAAATGGGACTATAACCACTACCAGCTGTAGGTACAGCAGAGGATATTTCTACATATGTATCTGTATGTGCTGTAAGTATATCCATGTAGACAGTAGAACAATCAGGGGGCAAAATTAGGAGAATTTCTTAGCCATAACCAGACACCTTGAGATAATAAGTCACTGGGCTTGGGGGCTTAGGACCCCAGTGTTGGAGGACAGCTAACTCAATTGGCATAATAGTTCACAAAGACAATGTTTTACATCCTCCTGTGATAAGTAGTGACTGGGGTTGTCAAAGCTAGCAAGTGGCCATCTAAGGTGCGACTATTGGTCTCTCCCCACCTGGAGCAAAGAAAAGTGAAGAAAATCAAAGACACATGGAAGCAAATAGTCCCAAGGACTAATGGACCACAAGAACCTCAG